GAAGAGCGCTGAACTCCAGCTTTCCCTCGTACATGAACTCCAGCAGCAGCCCGAACGCCGGCGGCGTCACGATGTCGCTGTTCAGATGCACCACGTCTCTTTTGTCCAGCTGGTCGCGGTAGAAGAGGTGGAAGTACATGCTGCATGAGGCCAGGACGGCTCGGTGCGCTTTGAACCGCGTCTCTCCCACCAGCACAGTGCAGTCGCAGAGGAAGCCTTGGTGTCTCTGCTGACTCAGACACTGCAGTAACTGGCGGCTGTGGTCTGGGAACTCCATTCTTATGGCGTGATCTGCCAGAAAACAGGAAAAACTGGATGTTAAATAAACACCGGGTAGCCATTCACAACGGTGCATCTACAGGCCGCCGGAGACAAACAAAAGTAGACCCAACCCGCTGCGTGCTGCATTACAAACACGAGCCGTGGGTTTCCAAGCTGCTTTTTTTCTTCTAGCGCTTCTCGTATGTATGAAGAAGAAGATTTTGCATGTTATTTTCCTGTGAAACAATCTGCATCGTATAAAATAAACAACTTGAATGCACAACAAAATGAAAAAAGGTTTTATCTCACAGAAAATCTTTCTGATTCAGCATGAAAACACACTGAAGGCCACTGAGAAAGTTCATGCGGGCACATTATATCTATCGACTGTCAAAAAATCAACATTTGGCTGAGTTCTCAAACACTCAGAACTCAGAATCGTAGTTTGAAGCTACAAAGGAATCATGCATTTCACTTCTAATTCAACATACAGGCCGCTGAAGACAAACTAAAGTAATATCTTTTGTACTTTCAAGATGTTTGCAATGCAGCTGCAGTATGTCTGTCACAAACTGACATTTTGATTGTTTCAAAGATGCTTTTTAATGCATAATGCACAGCAAACAGCTGTCTCAGATTTATAGTTTCAAGCTACAAAAGAATAGTTTATTTCACTGCTAATTTAACATAGAGTACACATACATTATCATAATACTGTATATTAAAAACAAGTTCCAAGATGTTTGAAAGTAAATGTCAAAAACTGACATGCAATTGAGTTTCAAAGATGTTTTTTTAAACTCAGAACTCAGAATTATAGTTTCAATCTACAAAAAAATTATTTCTCACAACTACAAACAACCTACTACATTAAAAACGAGTTATGCTTCCAAGATGTTTGTAATGCAGTTACATTATATCGACTGTCAAAAACTGACATTTGATTGTGCGTTTCAAAGATGCTTTTTAATGCACAACAATCTCAGAATTATAAGCTACAAAACAAATATTTATTTCACTTATATGAAATAAATGATATCCTACATTCAAAACCCGTTCCTTCCAAGATGTTTGCACCGCGCAGCTGCAGTATGTCTGTCAAATACTGACATTTTAATTGAGTTTAAAGATGCTTTTTAATGCACAGCAAACAGCTGTCTCAGAATTATAGTTCCGAGCTACAAAAGAATTGTTTGTTTTACTTCTACTTCAGCATACAGGCCAAAGACGAACAAAAGCAACATCATTAAAAACAAGTGGTGCTTCCGAGATTTTCAAATATTTGAATGAATTCAAGACAGTGGATAAAAGTCAACTTGTTTAAACATTAAAGCTAACAAACAATGACCGCACACCTCAACATACCCTCTTCTCTCAGAGCTCACACAAGCTGATCTTCACTTTGCGCTTCCCATCGAGCAGCAGCAGCAGTGAAAGAGCGTCAATCCAGTCATGCGCAAACATCTCACATCTCCAGCTCAAACATGACGACCATCATATAAACTCCCAGATCCAGAGCAGCAGACGACTGAACGCAGCCTCTCGTCCATGTGAGCGGAGAGAAAGTGTGTGTGTGTGTGTGTGTGTGTGTTCTGGTAGAGTCAGCTGCTCTGACATCAGCCTCAAATCTCCAGCTGTGTCTTTGTGCCATATGTTCCTCTAAAGAAACCTCAAACTTCTCTGAGTTTTTTATTTTAACGCGTTATAATTCTAATACGATTTTTAAACAGACAGACGGACGCGTCTCGCTGATATTAAAGCTTTGGAAGCGCGAGCGAGCTCATGACAGGATACTTTTGTTTTAAAACAAACTCGCGAGAACAAGACAGCGGTGCATTACGCGGAACTTTTACGCGCTTTTCTCCTCTTTAATGCCTGATTTCACGCCCAAACATCCCGTAAGCTGATGTGGCTCGGGTCCAGTTATAAACTCCGGTGTCGTGAAGAGCGGCGGATCAAACGCGCCGCGCCGCGGAAACATTGTGTCACACTGGAGTCCAATTTGACAGCACTAATATATATATATATGCATACATGTAAATGTAAAAATAAATATATTATTTAGTCTTTATTTAATTTGTTTTTAGATCTTTTATGTTTTGGGGTTTATTCACAAGTTACAATATCTGCTTTAATTTTATAACATGGGTTAATTTCAGAAATGCATTTTATATGTTGAGGCTGTGTGTTAAAAAATCTATTATTTTGTCATTTTTTTATTGATTTTATGTTTTGGTGTTTATTCACAAGTTGCAATATCTGCCTTAATTTTATATAATGAATTAATTTCAAAATTATTAATGGATTTTATATCTTGAGGTTGTGCATTAAAAAAATCTATTATGTAGTAGTTTTTGTTTACTTTTTATGTTTTGGGGTTTATTCACAAGTTACAATATCCGAATATCTTAATAGGCAACATTTAAATTTTATATTAACTGATTTTAATGGGTTAATTTCAAAATTATAAATGCATTTTAAATCTTGAGGTTGTGAATTTAAATTAAATCAATTGGTCATGATTATTTTTTAATTAACTTAATAAACTGTTTTAAATATGACACCTACCTGGTGCATTTTTGGTTAGAAGAAAAGCTTAAAATATGAAATGTGCAAACACAAGGTGAGGTGACGAGGAACTTAAACTAAAGAGTGCCAATATGAGACTGTTCTCTTTCTCTGGAAAATGAAGTGTTTTTGGAGAGGGCTCTAGATGCTAAAGTTATTTTTAAGATTGCAAATTGCGACGATCCTCTCAAACCCGTCCAGCCTAAATGCATTCCTCTCTTTCAATACATTAAGTGTATAATTAGAGGTCTTTTGAGAAGCCGGCCCTCCTCCTGTGGTCTTTGTTGAGAGCGCTGCTGTGTTGTGTGCTGAGAGTGTTTGCTGGGATCTAATCGAAGCTAATCCTGCTCTGAGCTGGAATGTCTTGGCACTGACTCGCACTACAGTCTTACTATTTTCACCTGAAAAGCTACTCTGTTCATACAACAAAATCAATAAAAATATTTGAACTTGGACAATTACACTAATTACACTTGGACAAACATAAACTGAACGATATAGGATTCTGAAAAATAAAATAAATTACTAAATAAATATTAAATAAATATAATTTTAAAAATACTTTAAAATCATTTAAAAAAAAATTTAAAAAAAAAATGTATTCTTCCAAATTCCTATTCATGTGCCTCTTTGTACAGACAATAAGATTTTCTTTCTCACACAAAAGCTCAAGTTGCTCTTTGGATCGTCTCAAATCAAACTGGAGAACATGAGCATCAGGCTTTGTTCATGTAGCAAAAGAGACACTGACAAAACACTGATACATTCCCAAATTCATGTTCGTTTAATTATAGCTGATCATTTTCAATGAATAATGTAGGAAAAAATCCAACATGCATCTCCAGCCTGCTTTGTAACTTTGCTTGGCATCACCTCTAATGTAAGAATTCAATGAATAACATCTGCTAAATGGATAAATGTAAGTGTGACTGAAACAAAGCAGCATGCAGTGGTTTTCACACAACAGAACTGCAGTTGACATGTTTTGTGAGTAAGAAGCAGCAGAAGAACAGAGTTACAGGGCTATTTTGGGATGGCTCTTCTGTACGAACACTCAAACTGTTGTTGATCCTGTAGGCGCAGCGCAGACGTGAGCAGGAGCTGCAGCTGCTCATCTCGTGACCTCTGCAACTGTTCAGGTCACCTTTTGCCCAAACTCCAGCTGTCCAATGCTTTGAAAGGGCCATTTGAAGCTTCTGGACTGGTTAAGCAGACTGTTCTGACAATACTCGGAGCTTTGGATTCCTCTTGTATTAGTTCATCTGGGCTGCTCTTTCACACTGGAGATTAACTAGTTTTATCTGACAATTCGAATAGTTAAAGGTTTTTAAAAAATTTTTATTGATGCACTTTCATTTTTCATTGCACAGAAGGTTCTTTAAGGTTCTTCACATTAAGAAATCAATTTAAGAACTGTTCATTTGGGAAACCAAAAATGGTTCTTCATGTGAACAGATTTGTAGAAATGTAGCATTGCATCAGTGTCTCAGCAATGGATGCT